AGATCCAGAGTGCATTCTTAAAAGATATTTAATAGGCAAGATTGAGCTCTACTGTGGATGCTATTTTTGTTTTACAGCCATGACCTCGTTAAGGAGATGGACAAATGAAGCCAAAAATGGAACATTAATAAATAGAGCCTGAGTCCGTCACAAACACCCACCGGCATCTCAACCGCTCCTTCTCCCAAAGCAGCTGAGGGCTCCCCAGCACCTCTCTCCCATCCCTGCCCCAAGCATGAACCCCCTGGGCATCACACACTCGGCACATTCCAGTCCATTTCCCGTGGCTTTGGCTCAGTGCTACCCATGGACATCACAAGGGGATCCAGCACCAGGGAGCTCAAGGTGCCAGCTGTCCCTTGGCCCCAGAAGATGCTGGCACAAACAGCGAGACAGAACAGGAGGCAGATCAAAAGAAGGAGGACCAATGCCATCATCTGTCCTGGTGTGGAACACAGATGACACTGCTACAAGAGGAGCAGTTCTGCAAAGGGGAAAAAAGACAGGAGCCCACAGAGGATGGGAGAAGTTAAATCAGACCCTGGGTGCTGATGGATGCCAGGCGATGGGCATCACGGGGCACAGTGCCAACAGTGCCTGCCCCAAGACCCTCAGGATGCAACCAAGATGGTACCTACAGATTATATCCCAGGGCTTTGTCAAGATTGCTGGGCCAGAGCCCAAGCTTGGCTGGAGCTTTCACTTGGAAAGCTTAGCTTGCTTCAAAGGCAGCAATCACAGCAAAGGAGTGTTTTGGCTCTAGAGATGGAGGATGCAGATTTCCTGGAGAAGAAAGGCTGCCCTCAGACAGAGGGGAGGCTCCACCACATTCCCAGCACTGATGAACTTTGGGTTGGTTGTGGGGAAGCACACGGCAGCCCCATAGCAGCAGAGCAGGCAGGGCAAGCACCAGAAGATGCATGGGTTTGCAGGGAGAGAGCTTGAGGCCCTGGGTCACACACTGAAGGACAGGGCTGGGATCAGCCACAGAGCCCTGCTCTCCGTGCCCAGCGGTGGCAGGTGACACCGAGCAGGCTCACTTCCTCACGTCGTTCACCTTCACTCTCTGCATGTGCCCAGACAGCTCCTCGCACAATGCCACGGCAGGGCATCTGGGCAGAACCGGGCCATCCCCCAGCAATCACAGAGGGTCAATCCCTGGAGCTCACAGCCCAGCCAGGCTGCCTTTCTGCTGCCACCTGGCACCCACCGCTGCTGGGCACTGTCAGCGCTGCACGGGAAGGGCAGCTCGGCCCTAAGGGCTCTGCTGAACATCAGCCTGGACCTGAGCCCTTCCGACCTCTCAGCTTTCCCTGCATGCAGGCCAGCACATGAGCTACGCACCGCTGCTTTGAGATGCTGCCATATGGCACCAGCCCTGCACAGACAACTCCTGCAAGAGCTCAGCAGCAGCATCCCTCTCCTCAGCTCCGGCAGCTGCTACAGACTGGGGTTTCTAAACCTGCCTTGAACACTCAGACCCTCAGCAGTGCTGCAGAAGTGCACGGCTGTTTAAAACAAACCAGAACAAAACAGCCTAACCTCTCTCCCAACAGGAAGAAAAATATTTTTTAAAGTACTGAAGTTTTTACAGCTGGTGAGAGACAGCAACGGGGAAGGCTGCAGGGCAGTCCCATCAGCAGATTCCAGCCAAAGGAAAAGCACAGGAGAGCACCGAGCCAGATAGGAAAAAAAGATGAAGAGGATGAGATAAAAAGGAGAGAGCTGACAGTCCTGTACCCATGGAGGAGGGCAGCAGAGCCTCGTAGCTGGAGATGCACCAGCTAGAGCTGTGAAAATTCCCTGGCTTTGAAGACCAGGTCTTCCTGGAGACACACAGCTCTAATCCACACTCCTGAGTAATTCTCTCTTTGGCAACACATCATACCCGCATTGATTCAAACCCCAGGGCAGCTGTACTGGCTTTAATCTAGGTTTTATTTTTGTAAACTACAGTTTCAAGGAGAATGCTCACAAAGTGGATCTGGGGATGGGTGGCAGGGAGCAGAGCCAGAATCGCTAATGTCTGCAGTGGAAACACTTGTGCTTCTTCAAGAACAGGGACCAAATGTGAAAAGCTTTGATCCTAAAAAGCTAACAGCCCTGTCAGGGAGAAAAGGGGTCAAGCTCTTCCACTTTTGCTGGGGCAGCTCCCTCTGCTGTCTTTGCTCAACAGCTGTTACTCAAAGACGCACGTCAGTTCCAGATGGGCCCGCAGCAGTATTTCATCAACATGTGGTCATTAGTCTCCTCTGTAAAGTTATCACCTAGGAAGAAATGAGTCCCCACAGAAACCAAACTTGAAAAGGAAAATGCCATCCCCTCTACCCCCATTCGGTAACCAGCTGGGGAGCCCACGGGACGTAAATTACATCCACAGCCTAAAGCAAAGCCAGACTCAGCCCCAATCTCTTGAACCGCTATCCTTCTCACATGCTGCCTGATCAGCAAGCAGTCAGCAGAGGAATTTGCATGGTGGGCACGCAGGGCACGGCAGGACAGCTGTCACCAAGCACATTTTGATTAATAAGAACCAAGCCCACGTGGGCTGGTTGGGCACTACCAGTGCCCAGCTCACCCAGAGCAGCAGCCATTGGGTCCTTGCCTCCTCTGAGCAGCCCCAGGCAGCACTGAGAAGAGCTTCTGGTCCTGGGGATGCTGGAAGAGGCTTCATCTCTTTCGGAAGAGAAAAACACGTCCTGACTGTACAGCCAATGAGAAGGTGCTCCATTGAGCACGACACTGCAGAGATAAGGAAAAGATTGAGTATATAATCGCAGAGCCACGAACCGAGGCAGAAGTACTGCTGTTCTGGACACCCTTGTTTTCTCAATGAAACAATTCTGAGACAAAAAAGGCACAAAAGACTGATGGTGGACACACATCTCCTTTCCACGTCCTCCTTTGCACAACTTTCCGCTTCCTTGGCTTCCATCAGTTTGTTTCTCTCAGAAAGGTTCGGGACCCAACTCCAGCAGTGCAGCAGACAACACACGAAGACCATAAAGTCTTGCACAAAAAGTGGGGGCCTTCTCCCGCCCAGGTCTTCTTTTCAATGCCTCTCTTGCCTCAAGGTAATATTCTCAACCATCTGAAGCAACAGGCTGCTGTAGCAATTTTCCCCAAACAACCCAGCACGGTTGGCACACGTTTCCCCTCGATTTTCACCAACTTCCCTGTATTATCTTCACGTTACTTCTGTGCTGCTGAGCACAGCACTCCCTCCATCAGCGCCAGGCTGCAGCGTGCTTTTGGCCACTGCTCTGGCACCATCTGCAGGCAGCGGTGCCACCCGCAGCGCAGGGCAGCTGCTCCCCAGGGCTACGAGCAGCACTGTGTGAGGAGCAGAAGGATCCCGAGCCTTTTTTTGTGTAAGCACAGAACAGCACGTGCCCGATAACTCAGCGCCTGCGTCCAAGGATGCTGCAAAGTGCAGCGTAATTGCCTCTGCTATTAACAGAGAATCACTCCATTGAGCTCATTCGGGAAGCCAAATAAAACTAATAAGAGTATATATATATGTATATTTATATATATATGGAAAGGGCAGCGTGGTGCTCAGAGATGTCAGCAGAGAGCTATCTCTCAGCATTAGCCAACCCCCATTCCTATTACATTCAGTGTTTCACAAGCCTCTAGCTTGTCCACCCCCCCAGCTCATGGTAAGACACAGTGGAGCTTTTACCATTAGCACACAGATGGTAAGCTGAAGCAAAGAGGGATTTGGAGACCAAATCACCGCCTGCTCTCAGTGCATCCCAAAAGCTGAGCGTCTCTCCCAGCATCTCTGCTTCCTACAGAAAGATCCTCTGCCATGGAGAACCAGGACTGAACATACAGCTCTTCCAGCACCAAACATGAGCCCCAAACATCTGACTGCATGTGTTCTGGGCTCATGCCCACCTCACAGCAGGGTTCAGAGGTGCTCACAGGGCAAAGCAAGCTCAGCACACTACAGACAAGGCAGGGCTGAAAGATGTCCATGAAGTTCAGCCAGTCCCAGCAGGTAAGAACGCACCAAATCCTAGAGCATAAAGTCCCCACATCGAGCCCTGTACAATTACTTCTGGACCAGTATCACTCTAGCTTCATGTCTAAACTGCAAGTAAAGAGGCCACACATTTATAATTGGCCTGAAGATGACAGCTGGGGGACTACCTGCTCTCTCTAAGCCTCTGCCCACAGCTGCACACCTCACAGCCAAGCCCCTGGGAAGCACTCCGATCCAGCACGCCACCACCAAGCCCCAGCTCCACTGCTGCCCTCCTGCCCCAGTGCAGCCAAAGCTGAGCCCCTCTCAGACAAAGCAGGGACGGGCTGTGCAGCGCTGCTGGGAGCACACAGCCCTCCCTTCACCAGCTGCCTTCTTGCTCACACCAGAGCCTGGCTCAGCCCCTGCTGACAAGCCACTTATCAGCAGTTATCAGGTCTTGGCTGGAGGTAAGGGAGTTTATTTCCTATTCTTTGGAGAAGGAGGCAGCTGCGATAGTTATGGGGAAGGAACTGCGGTGAAAAGGAAGTGCTGGCATGGAGACAAAGAATTCAGGAGGTGGGGAGCACCCCAGGAGGCCCCGTTTGAGCGAGGAGATCAGGGCAGCACAGCGGTCAAACGCAGGGTATGGAGTTGCACAGGCAGTGAGACAGCCCCCAGGTTTGCACAGCTGATGGGAAGCCCAACTCCCAGGCTCTGGGCCAAACCCACTGCGGAGGGCAGATTTTTATTACAGCGGCTCAAAGAGGCAGCAGCTCCAGCTCCCGCAGCACAGTGGGTGGGAGCGGGCGAGGGGAATTCTTCACCTCTGCAGCATGGCAGCACTGCCTTATCTGCCAGCTGAGTGCCGGTTAAACAGCACCTCCCACAAGGCAAAAACAAACAAGCTGACATGCTTCTGAAGAGCTGCTGGCTCCGGTTTTATCGTGGAATGCACTGAAGGTTTAACCTTTCTACTTCTGCTTTTCTGAACACCTGTAAGCGTTCCCCTGAAGAACCGACTGCATACCTTAGAGCTGAGGAAATTCCACATCTGAGACCTGCACCACGCCGGCCTGCTCTACCGGCCCAGGTCTCCTTCAGCAAAACAAACGTTAGCAGCATTTAAGTCATTACTCCAATGCTGCCTTACAAGAGGCGGAGTGCAAGCAAGGAATGGAAAAAGCCTTTGTTGCTCACAGCATTACCCAAGAGGTTTTGAAAGTAACATCCACAGCATGATGAGAAACACTGTGGGATTGGCACGTTTCCTTCCTGAAGGCTTTGCAAAATATACTTTTTCTGCTGTGAAAATCAAAGCCAGATTCAGCATCAAATGATTAAAGGTTAACTAAGACTTCAAACAAGCGCTGTGCAACGGGTCATTCTCCTACGGATTATGGAACACAAAGTAGCCCTCGGTATTAATATCTGCATTTAATTATGGCCATGTCTGAAGGTGATGAGCAGAAAAATACCGGCTTTGTTACAGATGTGCATTTCACTCTGGAAATCCTTTGGAAAGAAAAATATTGCTGCACCTGTTAGGCACCAAATGCCAACGATTTCTCAGCACTACGGGGCAAGTGGCCCAAGTTGAGGGTGAAACGAAGCTGGAGTTGTTTTAAAATAAGCAGAAGAGTCTGCTAAAACACAGTGCTTTTTTATTCAATGGGAAACAAGGTCCGCTGGCTCGGGATGTGAGGATGCAAACACAAACCAGGCTGGAAGAAAGCTGGGTGAAGTGAGCTGCAGTGCAGTTGGGTTTCTCCCATAGCTCCTCCAGAAACTTGGCCACTAGAAAATGAGTGATACAGCACAGGGGAAAGCAGCATTCCTCCCCCTGGAAACCACCATCTGCTTCCAGGCACATCCTCTTCACGCGCCTCTTCATCCCTCACTAGAGCCTAATCACAGAAGCCTTTTTAATTAAAAGAGGTGGCTCAATGCATCTTTCTCCTATTGATCTGGAGTCAACAAGAAACCATAAACCAAGAAATTAAAATAATAATTTATAGCCTTTGGCCTGACTGCCTGTTAGCTCTGTTTGCCATATTGTACACAATGGTTTCCTGCCTCTGCCAGTATATAAACTCAATACAAGAGCTCCAAAAAGGGAGAGAAGGAAAAAAAAAAAAAAAAGCCAAACCCCCCACACACAACCCTATAAGGCTTCCTCTAGAAACCAGCTCTGAGGATGGTTTTCAGCTCACCCTTTGTCTGATCTGGGGCCAACCCTCGGTTCCAATCATAACAGAAAGCAGTGAAGATGAAAGGCCAAACTCCATTTCTTCCCAACTTGAGCCAGGTGTACAGCTGGCACCAGCAGCCTCCAATGGTAACATGTTCCAGTGAAGACATGTTAAAGCAATAAAAAGAAAATGAGTAACATGTGGCTAAAAACATCTATTCGTTTCACTTATTTTCTATAAATGAATTTTCCCAGGGCAGTGTTTGGGGGTTTCTTTAAACAGTGCTCAGTTCCATAGGCGTTACAGGGTTTCCAAGACAGTGTGATCCCTCTGAGAGGCTTGAAATGCCAGCAAGTATGTCTCTTATAAACTAATAGGCTATTATTTACAATTGTGAGTGGCTCAAATAGCTGATTTAAAACCTTCAAATGACAAAAATTCCTCTGAGGCAAGATGCCAAAGTTGAGCAAACAATTTGTACGGTATGTTAAGTGTGGGGGGAAGCCATAGAGCTTGTAATGAAGTTGTGTCTTGTGTTTCCAATCAGAAGCAGGCAGGACGAAATGCATTATGGCAAGCTACTGAGTGCAACAACAAACCACGGGGGGTGGGGGAGGAAGAAGGGGGAAGCAAGGTTGGATTAAAATATAATTTCTGTGGCTTGTTGAACAACATGACGTAGCTAGTCCTTGGTATGCAGAGGATGGGTGCTCGCAAAGAGCACAGAGCCATCTGCTGCTCGTCAGATTCCAAAGCAATTACAGAATCCGTGTGTTTTCATTGTTTTTGGTGGGTTTTTTCCTCCCATTTCTGTTACCCAGTCTACACAGCAAAACCCACAAGCAACAGCATGAGACAGAGCACCGAAACGATGGCAACCCCCAACTGACATTTCAGAGCGAGGTTCAAGGAATAGTTGACGTGATGAAGCTAAGTGGAAAAGCAGAGGAAATATCTCACAGAGACCATCAGACTGCCTGAGGCTGCCCACGAGGGCTGCGGGTTCAGGGTTTGGTTTCGGGGAGGGGGGTTGTGGTTAGATTCCTGTTTTGAAATGAGAACACTGATTCCTCTAAGGACGACAGCTGTGCTTGCAGAAGGCAGCTGATGCCTTGCCCTGGGAACAAGCTGTGATGAAGGCAGGGTACGAGAGGAAGGTGCAGGGAGCAAGCTCTGAAGGCGCCGTACCAACTTGTTTCCAGCACACAGATCCTCCAATGGATCAGCACAGGATTGCTAAGAGATAAGAAGGCAGGCAGTGAGGAGCACACCCCGAGGAGATGAAGCTGAGTCACTGCCAGAGCCCAGGGAAAGCCTCACCACCCAGACAGCAGCACGAGCATAGAGGTACGCAGGCAGCAAGCGCTGAGAACAGCGTGTCTGTGTCAAAGGACAGCAATGGCGTGAGACCACAGCGGTCCCAGAGCAGCCATAAGCCGGGGCAGAAGCAACGAGCACCAACATCCAGCCCCTGGAGCCTGCCAAAGCAACAGGCACAGCAAGCAGGCCACAAACTGCTTGCAAACAGCCTCACGAGCTCACCCCACACTGGGGCGCTTCCCACATGAAGCAGTCAAGAGAACACTGCGCACAGAGCAGGGCCAGGAGGCTTCCCCAGGGCTTAGAGCTCAGGCTTTCAGCCCCCAGCTCCTCCCAGTGCTCTGCAGAGGCCGTGGGAGCCCAAAGCCCGGGCTGGGGAGCCCGTCTGAGCGCATACAGCTCAGCTGTCAGGGACATGCAAACATCGCAGCCACCAGCAATCCCAAAGCTTCTTTGCTGGCCTCAGCAGCTCTACCTCTGCTACGTCAGTGCACGGCTACCCTCTCTATTTCCATGAAATCCAATCGTACCTTATCCAAGGATAAGACAAACTACCTTTGAATTAGGTGAAGAAATTACAAATAATTCTAAGTACTAATATTCAGAAGTCTTGCTTTTCCTTAATTACTTATCACAGAATCACAAGGTTGGAAACAACCTGCAAGATCATCCAGTCCAACCACCCTCCCATTCCTATCAGTGCCACAAGCTACTAAACCATCTCTCGTAGCTCCTCATCCAGGCGCCTCTTGAACACTACCAGGGATGGCAACTCCACCACTTCCCTGGGCAGCCATTCCAGTGCCTGACCACCCTTTGAGAGAAAAAGTTTCTCCTAATATCCAACCTAAACCTCCTCTGGTACAACTTCTTGCCATTTCCTCAGGTCCTACTATTTGCCTGGGAGAAGAGGCCAGACCCTTTTGCACCACAACCTCCCTTCAGGAAGTTTATGGAAACTCTCATTTCATGTCCACGCGTTTCTTTTGAAAGAATGCATCTTCCACATCCCCTCCACCTCTTCAAGCCATGTCACATTTCCATAGCAAGCATCAGAGCATTGGAGAGAAGCGCCCACACAAAGGCACAGAGAACTTCACAACGCCTTTTGGCCAGCTGTACAGAACGTGCCATACAGCAGGCATCTTTCTTCCTACTTAAATGCCTAATAGCACTCATCCTGAACACTGTAAGCCAGGACACCTTCCACCTTGTTTTCTGTCACTGTTTCAGACACTAAACTGTTCCAGGAGTGTGGAGGAGTCAATCTTGCAGACAAGCTGTAGCTGGGCTGGATCTCAGCTTGCGTGGGGAGTGACACAGGGCAGGGCGCTGTGCAATTCAACACTCACCAGCTCCCCTGTGTTGAGTCCCTGAGGACTCCACGTTTGGCCCAGTAATTCCAAATTGCCCACCCGACAGCTTGAAGTCCTGCATCTACAACCCAGCTTCAGACCGTTTGTGCGCTCCTATCTTCTCACTTTCCCCCTAGAGCACGTTCCCAGAATTACATCTATGAGTCACATACATGTTCTGCCCTGATGAGGCAAGCCAGCTGGCAGAGACCACAGACCTTCTGCAGCCCAAGGAAAACCCATCTGCAGCATTTTTAATCTCTCCCGGGCATCTCTACTTCAACAGAAATTCCAGAGCATCCCCAGTCAGAGACGGGAACGCACCCGATAACGCTTATCCAGGAATGTGTTTTTGTACTGAGGCAGAGCCAGAATCCTCCTGCCAGATTTCCCTCCCTGGGACACTTGCTGCAGTTTATGGCTTGCTGTGTCAGTGCAGAGTATATGCTATCAATTAAGAAAGTCGGCTGGCACAGATGAACCCAAAGCCACAGGGCAGAACATCTCTGCCAGAGCCTGCAGGCAGAAACTCTGTAAGTGCATTCCAATTAGCTGTATTCGAAACTAACAGGAAAGAACACACCTCATAGAGACAAATGCGATGAGCAGCTTGACGTGGCACACAAGATGCCTTACTTCTCCCCAGCAGCCCAGCAGTAACTGGCTGAATTAGCAGGTTTGCTAGCCAGGATCTCGAGCCCTTCATGATTCTTCAGCTTGCCTAGAAAACATGAGCCATCCCTGCCTCCTCCTGGTCCCAGAAAGGAGGCCAAGAGCTAGTTTCATTACCACAGGGAAGTGCCATCTGAATAACCGTGTGCCCAAGTGGGCTTTTGTCACATCCTCCAGAAACTGCTCAACTCAGCAGCACTTTTTTCATGAGCAGCAAAGTGGAAAAGCACAGCACCAGACCTCCAAAGCAGAAAACATCTCTGAATCTCAGTCGGCCTTGAGAAGTGAGATTCTCCTCTTGAAAGAAAAGGAATAAAGCCTGCTGGCAACACAACAGCCAGAGACAGGGTCACTGGAGGCCTTCTTTCAGCAGCACTTTAATAGAACAGAACAGGTTTTCGAGAGTCCCTTCCAACTGAACACCTGAGCCCAACTGCCTGCCCTCTTCACAGCTAACCAGAAGTTCAGGCACATTATTGAGAGCACAGACCAAACGCTTCTCAAACGCTGGCAGGCATGAAGCACCACCCACCTCACCAGGAACCTGTCCCAGAGCTTGGAACCCTCACACTGAAGCAGTTTTTGCCCAATGCCCAGCCTGACCTTCCTCAGTACAGCTGAGCCACTGCCGTATGCACCAGGGAGCAGAGCCCAGCATCTCCCTGTGCTCTCCTTCCTCCGATGCTGCAGACAGCAGTGAGGGCACCTCTCAGCCTCCCCTTCTCCAGACCAGGCTGCACTGTAAGCATGCAGCCCAGATATGCTGATCCACTATAAACTCCCAGTTCGGACACATTCCAGAAGCACTGGCACATTAACTTTGTCCTGACAGGCTCTGTGCCCAATCAGGTAACCTCTGTCCTCAGCCTTGCCTTATCTGATTGCAGAGAAAAGGTTATGGCAGAGCAGGCACCATCTGTTACCCACAGCTGGCACAGGAACCACAGCACCAGCCTGAGCTCAGGACTGCCAGTTCCAGCTCATCTGACAAACATGATGACAGCATCATATTGAGGTAGGCAAATTCACGCTGCCAGGTGATCTGATGGAGCACACACAGGTTGTTAATGATCACTAACTCAGTCAGAAATGCTTGGAATGAGGCCCAAGGTGCAAAGCTATTGCTGTGAGTCCTGCCAACCCCAGGAGAACATCACCAGCAATCAATGAAGGGAGGAGCTCTCTGCCAGAGGATCAGCAGGCTAAGAGCACGGTTAGATGCAGAAAGTGGGGAGATAAAGAGCAGAAGAAAAGAGTCCTGACAAGAACAACCACCTCATGGGCTGCTTCTTCCAGGCTAGCAAGGGCACGAGCTGCTGCCAAAGCCCAGATCCTAGGTACAGCCAACAGCCCTATGCAGGAAAGTAACCTCAACACCCTCGCTCTTGTGGCTGTGTGAGCAGCCGAGCACGGATTAAGAACAGACATCTCCTAAAACATCCCTCACATCATTGGGTTGTTTTCTGTTTGTTTTTTTTTTTTTTTTCCCCCTCCAAAAGTCAACTCAATTAGAACAAATACAAATATCCTTTTAAAAAGCAGCTAGTCAGTGCCAGTGTTTTCAAAGGCACAAGTGCCTTAGAAGCAGATTGGTTTATTTGTTCCATGTAATTTACTTTTAAAATGTGTCCCCGGATTCCCCATCAATTGCATGTGAGATATTGCAAAGGTGACCCGGGAAGTTTCTAAATCATACGCTTGATAGGAAGCCACAAGCAAGGCTTCAGGCAGAGCTTAACAAGCAGAATGGGGGCGCAAGGGCTGTGCTGGCGGGTGTGGAAGGGGCTGTTGTTTCAATAATCCCATCTCAGCTGTCCAAGGTCATGTTTCTGGCAAGGACAACACCAAATGCCTGCACACAGCCTTGTGTGTGTGTGTGAGCTTCAGAGAAGCATCTATAAAGCAAAGCAAGAAAGCCATACAAGCTGAAGCTGGTGATCTGCTGAAGCACCGATAATTTTAAAGCTATAAATCACTCCTCCTTTATCCCCAGCAGAGTTCGTTGCTCAAGAACAGCTCAAGAGAATAAGCAGATTAAACACTCAGAAATTAATGTGCAGCTAAGCGCTCCCACGCAATGTCACATCCTTGTCCTCTCCCTCAGTCCCAGGCTGATGTGCAGTGACATCCTGCAGCACTCCTCCATCAGCACCAAGCTTTGGCACAGGGTGACACCTGTCACCAGTGCCCCAACACAGCCTTGGGATGGCGTGCTCTGAGTGTGGCAAAGCATTGCTCATCTCTCCAGGAGACCACAGAGATGAGCAGGGATTTCAAGACCCCTCTTTGGCCCACAGCACATCACCCCCTCCTTCAGTTCATTTTTTACCCTCATTCAGAACAGAGATCTCCTGCCAGGATTCTTCAAGCTGCCCAGAGCCGTGCATTTCTGTACTTCTCCCCAAGCAAGCTTGAAATGATAGGAACCCCATTACCCTTTAATCAGACTCTGCTCCTCCCACTCCAACCTCCTGCAGGTTCTTGCTTTTTACCAAAGAACTCCCTTTATCACAGCTTGCCATTAGTTAAATGCCCCATTGATTTTTCTTTATATTTTAGCAGCAGTAGGACATGACAGACTATTTAACAACCCAGGGCTACATGAAGCTGCTGGGATAGAGTTGCCACATTTCTGCCTCAGATTTCTTGTACAAAAATATGCACGAGTGCCAGAGGTCCCATATTTTCTAAATGCATCACGCCCACTGCTTGCATGTGTGGATGATAACACAGCACCTCCAGAGAGTCCAACAGCTTGAGAGTGTCAGACTGCAGAGCTATGTACACATACTTGTCAGTTATTAGGATTTATGGGAATCTGACAACTGCGAGCTTCAGATCAGAGCAAGACATGAACAGCCCAAGATGCCTAAAAAATGACAAGGTCAGCTTTTTTTTTCCTAGGCAGAAGAAAACAAACACATGATTTGAAAAATCCAGGCCCTGCTGCAGTTCCTACTGGAACTCCTATGGCTCCTGTAAGATCAGCACTACGCTCAGTACTTTAAGTCTGTATTTCTGCAGCCAAACACTTCCTTGTCCAAATCTTCATGTCCCCCTTGCATTCAGCAGCAACCCCTGTTCTCTTCCAGACCCCTGCCCACAGGGGCACATGGGACCAGCAGGCAACTCTCCATCAGTATGGAGTCAGAGAGAGACTCAGGGAAAAAGCAACCTGCTCACCTCACCCATCAGCAGAACGCAGGCACTGCTGCAAGGTGCTGCAGCTGATCCGTGCCCTGCAGAACTGCTGCAGGCAGAGGGCAGCTCCATGCTCAGCCAGGAACAACTTCCAGGCACCCCGGCCTGCCAGGTCTGTGCCTTGCCAAGTGCACTGCACAAGTCAGGCCCATTCGTTTTGTAGCTGTTTTCAGGGTGTCAGATACCAGCATTAAAGAGCACTCACGCATACATCATTTCAGCACAGGCAAACATCCCAGAGTAATTTTCACTTTATGTTTGAAATGTAAGAGGCAGGTACATGTGCTTCCCTTTTTTTCCTGAAGGGAGGAGACTCCAGCATTTCTTTCCATGTTACGCTGTAAGATTAATCTGGGAGTTTCCATGGTTTTCCAGCTTCGCCACATGGCAGCCATGTTGCATCTTCCCCATCAGACAAGCTGACACTGCATCCAACTCCAAGAGATGTAGGATTCCAGCTTATTAAGCACTACTTGACAGATCTCTATCCCTTCCAATCCAACCACCACCACCAGCCTGCATCTCCACACGTTTATCTGCAGGAAGCAGTCCAAGCAGGGAACGCCTGGTGTCTTTTAATTCATTCTTGGGCTAAAATTAGAGCTTCCCCAAATGTGACAAAACTCACAAGGCCACCCCCAGCCAGCTGCCTCCTTGCTGCAGCTCTCAGACCTGGAGAAGAGCATCCTCTATTTCAGGCCATGAAGTGGCTCCTTCGTATCACCCCTCACCATCCACCCCACCACTTCTTGTGCACTCCTGTAACACCTCATCTGCATCAGCATTCTGCAGTGTCACCATTTCAAGCCATGGGGATTTCTTAAGGAAAAAAAAAAGAAAAGTAGAAGAAAGAACAAGCAATCCCGTTTGTTGTTCTTGCTTGCAGCAAGAACATTACTTGTAATTCCTTGGCTCCCTCCTGGGAGGCAGAGAGCAACTCTTGCTCTCTCCCTGAAGCTCCAGCCTTTTCCATATTCTGAGGGTTTTCATATCACTATTCACAACTGGATATTTTTCCACCAGGAAAATCCTCATTTTTGAGGGGAAAAAAAAAAAAATAAATCAATTTCACTTCTCTCAGATCAATGCTTCATCACTTCTTTCAGAGGAAGACTGAACGCACTGCATGGACAGGAGCACACCATTTCTCACAGTCATCATTTTCTTGCAGACTCTTTGAAGACATTTGTGCAGGTGTTCCTACCACAAGCCCCCAGGTTTCCTAAAGCTTAAGAGTTGCTTGTTCAAGCCTTCCGTGGCCAGAATGCACTGCAACTTCACACCAGACAGAAGTGTCCTTGCACCCCAAATCGTTCTTACACAACACCTGACTCCCAACACAAGGAACCTGTAAGAGCCCTTCATACTTTGGCATATGCTCACTAGATGATGATCTCCAGCTCAAAGCCCTGCAGTGAATTTTTTCAGTCATCACTACCACGTTCTAAAAGCACATAAGCAAAAAGAGCCAACACTTAATGAAGTGCAAAACTAATAATAAAACTACCCGCTAAAAGACAGAAGTCATTTTCAAGTCCTATTTCCCTTCACAATGTATTCCCTTCCCATCATCCAAGATACTCTGTAAACACAGAAGTAAATACTCCTCACAGCAGAGCACTGGCTTGAAAGCCAAGTCCAACAGTAAAGCTTCAATTTAATATGCTTTAAATGCTCAACATCTTTTTCACTTAATGTAAAACCCATCTGATCTAATAGCTGTGATTGAATTATGTGTGTGTTTTTCTTTTTAAAGTTAATTTTCTGAGTTGGCAGAGCACTACACACATTAGATTAAGAACGCAGTAATCTCTACAAGCTTTCCAGGACTCAGACATATTTCCAAGTCAGCTACTCAGAAGTCATTTACCCACTTTAAAAAGGGCTGCTACGTAACAGCAACATTCTGCCAGCAATCAATTATAAGCTGCTTGTGATGCTGCCTTCCATTTCATGTAACAGATCGCTATCTCTCTCATCAAGTATCCCTCAAACCTCCTTAATGCACTTCATTTGCATCTGACATTTTTGTGACCTCTCATTTTCTCCCTTTCATTTATCAACAATGTTTGCCCATGAACACGCAACATGGAAAGCTGCCTTCACTGCACAGGTGATACCTGGTGTTTGATTATACCAAACACATGGATTAGCACAGCCGTGGGAATTGTGCTGATGAGCAGACAGCCTGCATTTTGTGTTCACCTTCCTGATACAACTGAACCAAAAAGCCTCATACACAGCACTGCCAGGAGATGTGTTCATTCAGTTTGAGCCTACATGGTTGTACAGTATTTAAGTAATCCACTCCTATGACACCCCAAAAGACAAAACTTAGTTCCTATCATGATATGACTTTATAGCATCACTGTCAAGGTAACAAAGAAGTCTGAGCTAGCATGTACTGGTAACCCCAGGTGCACTGACTTACACTGCTCTCAAGGAAATTGAGTCAGTTTCTCATTCCTAGGCCATTCTTCATCACCTTGCATTCCCTCCTGCCCAGAGGAGGCAGGTAACCAGTGCACCCAAGCGCAGCTCCACTGCAGCCCACTGCCACCAAGCTGGCACAAGATCTGGGGCCACTCCTGCAGAGGAAAGGCCCTCGATGTGCAACTGAGCTGTTATACAGAAGGTGCACGTGTTTGATCTCAGCCCCACTACCCCTCGGGTTGTGGAATAGCAGAAATGCTGCTGCAGGAAGCAAGGCAAAGAACAGCAGCAACACCACTACCGTTCAACAAATAAGCACTGATCTCCAGCAACCAGATGGGGCAAAAGGAGCAATGCCTCACAGGCACTCAGGTTTCTTAGATCTGTGTTCAGGTGGTGACCTGTCCTGGATAAAACCGTGACAAGAAGCTACCAGAAATGCACACCAAGCAAAAGAGCAGCTGAAGGAATGCCGAGGCAATTATCAACCGAGGACTCAAGACCTCTGAAAATACATAGAAAAAATATGCTAGCAGACATGTGAAAAATAGATGAGTTACTTGGGATTCAAGAGCACCCAATCAAGTCCAATACCCTCCACAGCCCAGGCTACTTTGACAGATTCTTTACATTGCTTTACCTTTTACAGAATCGATCACTACAAAAAAAGAAAAAACATTTTATTAATGCAATATAGGAGAAATTTAGAAAAACATACATAGAACTCCCTCAATAAGGAAACATACAATATCAAATTATGCCAGAGTTAGTATAACAAAACAGTCAGTTTCTCTCTAATAAAAGTTTCAAGTAACACAATCATAAAAGAATTTAGCTATGAAGTAGTGTGTTTATACTGAGATGCTTTCTGTAATAGTCCTCTAAGAAATTAAAGGAAAGCAGCAGTAGATCTGTTGTACTACAGACGTATTCAGTAAATATATTAAGTGTATTTCTGTCAATAACTGTCCTGCACATTCATCACTTCAGGTATCCTCCCTGTCTGGCAGTTGTCTCTTAACAACATGTGACTCTGCCCAAAAAGGGACACAGAAGGAAATAAAGGTAACATCACTGAAAGCCAAGGCCTGAGCCAACGCGTGCTGGGAAGCCCAGTTAATGTGAAGCAGACAATTCAGCACTCTAAACTTCAGTCTTTGTTTTTCAGAGAGCACACAGAAGGCAGCTTGGTCTTCTTTGCTTCAGGCTGTCAGGTTCTTATCTGCTAGGTATAAACAAGTGCCTTCAGCTCAGTAGTGAAGTTAAGGGGCCACTGAGCGCAGTACAGCCTGCACTATTACAACACCAGCATTCATCATTAGGCTCATTTTTTAATTACTTTAGGTAGTCCCAAATTTCATATTTTGTTACAAAACTTACGGAAATATCATCCTTCAGTTAAAAAAAAATGAAACCTTGTTTTAACGGGTAAATTCCAAGCAAATAAAAGCTCTCATTTCATTTGTCATACTATTTGCATCTTTCCCCATAAATAATCTGATTATAGTACATAATTTACAGTTAAGAGGAAAATTATTTCATGAAAGTTTAAAGTGTGTTTGAAAATCCAGTAATTGAGTTACCCCATGTGCAGCTTGCTGAGCTGCTTGGCCTACACCCACATTACACCTAATGAAGAATGAAATTATGTCCAAGTAGAACTATTGCATTTAGAAAAAAAGCTGCTCTACAAACCATGACATTGCAGTCCTATAGTTCAGCCTCCAGTAATCAGCATTACAAAGAATTCATTAAAAGTCTCTTGGGCAAGGGACAAAGGTTGGTGTTCTGGTGGAAAACCCAACTTTTAAGTCTGATTTAAAAAAAAAAAAAGCAAAAGACACTGCATCTTAACATTTATTTAAACAAAACCTATAACTTGGCCAGCCAAGTTACAGCACATACCAAACACCTTCCATCTAGCTGTGCAGCTGACTTCAGCACGTTGTAACAGTCACAACCAGCTCCAGTTACAAACAAGACACCCCACTCTTGGTTAAGAGTCACACAGCTACAATACTTGCCAAGCTCATTTGAACACCATTTATTTTCAACCATACCATGAGAGTTCAAGTTATAGGATAAACTAGAGTTTCTGGGAATAGGCCTTGTTTTAGGAAGTGGTCAATCAGACATACAATTATTTAGCTACCATGTCATCATTTTGACAGTCAGCTCGTACACCAACTTCAAAGCATGTTCTACATCTTTTATGAATCTACTGAAAGGAGAGCCAGATCTGAGGCTTCGTAGCTCTACTTTACTGTTTTGGAAGAAAACATTTTGGCTTTGTAACCTGTTTCTTATATGGAGTAACTTCCAGGGATTCCAATTACAGCCATAATATCAAAACAACATAGAACTCACAAAGGTTATCACTACCGTAATCACAGCACTCCTACAAGCTGCAGCAGCCTTCCAGAGCAATGGCACTAAGCATGTCAGCAAACCAGTCCCTGTCTCATCTGAATGATCTGCAGTAAGGCAGCTTGGACATCTTCATCCATGTGCCCCTAGAGCAAGCAAACACAAAGAAAAATAAACAGGTCTCATAAAGCATCAACT